GCCTCCAATTCTTCCTCCACTCTCCCCAGTCACTGCTCCGCCTCTCAGTCGTCGACGTCACAGCCGTTCTTCTCGTCGTCAGCGCCTTTGTCTGGTGGTAAGTTAAATCTCATCTCATCTCATCTCATCTCAATTGGGGATTTTTTAAATTAGGGTTGCGTTGTTTTGTTTTGGGGGTCCAGATATTTGAAGTTAGAGAGCGACAGGGGAAATTATATGAAGATATTTCAGTACTCAGTAGCAAACTAGGGAACTAATTTTATGGTAAGCCCTCGTGGTTTGATGGTGTAGCCTTCCTGTAAACATTAATACAATTAAACTTATTATGGGTCCATATAAATATACATATATATACGCACATGTGAAAATTTATTCAAGATATTTAGCAATGAATTAATCATCATGATCCACAAAGACATATTATAAGAAATTTATTGTGACATCTTATAACATGCTTAAATAATCACCCTGCCCAGCAAGATTGCTTCTTTCTCTGCTTGGAAATGAGGCTTAGTCATAGCCATATGTGAACGAAAGTCTGTTTTCTTCTCTGCTTCTTCTTCTTATTCTTCTTTTTCTTCAGCTGCCTCTATATTGTTTTGAAGATATAGCCTCAGTTAGCCTTTTATATATAAATTAATCCATGACATCAAGTAGCCTCCTTCCTCGCTTTTTCTATCATTTATAACAGTTGCAAATACATACATATTACACTTTTTGAATATTGATATACTTTTATGGCTGACTATATTGATTACATTTGGGAAATTTTTGCAGACGCTCTGCAATTGGTAATATCCGAATGCAAACTGAAAGCTAAGATTGTGGACCTTTGTCAGAAAGGTGATTCATACATCAGAGAGTAAGTATCCCATGAATTAATTTTTTCTCGTTGGCATTGAAAATTTGTTTATTTTCACAAGAATTTATTACTTATGGCTGTGTTGATTTGCCCCTTTAATGCGATGATTTATGGGTCGTGTTGTTTTTATATTTATTTAGGCAAACTGGTAATATGTTAAAAAAATGTGAAGAAGAAGATTGAACGAGGGGTAGCCTTTCCAACTTGCATTTCTGTGAACAACACTGTATGCCATTTCTCCCAGCTTGCAAGTGACGAAACAGTGTTGGAAGAAGGAGATATTCTGAAGATGTAAGTTTTCTCATGAGTTTCTTTTTGTTACTTCTGCTGTACATGAAAGATAGCTAAATGTTATATGAACTGAATATAATAAGCTTGTAAGTGGGAACATATTGATGCTTTTTTGGTTCTCATGCTGTGATTTGGGTTGTCATATTGACGAGTTCATTGTATACATATTGACAAGTGTTCAAACCTTGCCATGTTGCTAAGTATACATATATAATTGGAGCTTTGAATATGATTACTAGCTTGCCTACTTGTAGAGTTCAGCTATTTGACCTTGAACTTTCTAATAACTTTCAGATGCTTATAGGACTTTATTATATTATCAATTGCTGTTTTTTTTTTTAAAATTCCACCAAATAATCATACTTTGCAATATAGGACTTTATTAGATTATCAGTTGCTGTTTATTGACTCCTACCATTGTGGAGGCCTTAATTTGTGCCCAAAATTGGTTAAAGTCCGATGACATCTCTTCTTTAGAGTATGAGCCAAGCATTCAAGAGATGGAGTTTTATGAATCGATTGAGACAGGTATTATTTTTCTTTCTCTTTTTGTGATTTAATGATATATTTTTCTGTTTTTTTTTTAATGTGATTTAATGGTGGATATATGATTTATGTTTTTATGTTTATATTTTCTAGATCTTAGGAGGCCATGCACACCAACCAATTCAACTCATGCAACTTTCCAATGAGACTACATGGTTGTTTGAGTGTGGTTTCTGTCTTGAGGTATGTAATTTGCTGCTCATCCAACTAATTGTGTTAATTTTCTGTCTTGAGGTATGTAAAACAAGAAAATAATTGTGTTAATTTAAGATTTTGTTTGAATGAATGCAGTTCATCCAACTAGAGCAAAGCTTGGTAAACCTTGTGATATGAGATTTGCTGCTCAAATTTTTGGCAACTTGATAATGGATGACATAATGGAGCCAATTGTGTATTTGTTTTGTGTAATTTAATTTGCTGCTCAACTTTGTGTAATTTAATTTGCTGCTCAACTTTGCCAACTTTGTGTAATTTAATTTGCTGCTCAACTTTGCCAACTTTGTGTAATTTAATTTGCTGCTCAACTTTGCCAACTTTGTGTAATTTAATTTGCTGCTCAACTTTGCCAACTTTGTGTAATTTAATTTGCTGCTCAACTTTGCCAACTTTGTGTAATTTAATTTGCTGCTCAACTTTGCCAACTTTGTGTAATTTAATTTGCTGCTCAACTTTGCCAACTTTGTGTAATTTAATTTGCTGCTCAACTTTGCCAACTTTGTGTAATTTAATTTGCTGCTCAACTTTGCCAACTTTGTGTAATTTAATTTGCTGCTCAACTTTGCCAACTTTGTGTAATTTAATTTGCTGCTCAACTTTGCCAACTTTGTGTAATTTAATTTGCTGCTCAACTTTGCCAACTTTGTGTAATTTAATTTGCTGCTCAACTTTGCCAACTTTGTGTAATTTAATTTGCTGCTCAACTTTGCCAACTTTGTGTAATTTAATTTGCTGCTCAACTTTGCCAACTTTGTGTAATTTAATTTGCTGCTCAACTTTGCTGTAGTTTAATTTGGCAGACTTGATTACTGCTGAACTTTGCTGTAATTTAATTTGGCAGATTTGGCAGACTTGATAACTGCTGAACTTATCATTTTATGTCTTTGTTTTGTTAAAAGTTTCAGTATTTGGGCCAATTGTGGTGTAAAAATTGGGCCAATTATGATGTAAGCCCAACAATTTAAAAATTCAGGTTGTTTTAAAGTTTAAAAACCCAAAAAACTCAAATGGGCCTTCCAGCAGGCCCAAACCGTTGAGAACCGGGAACCGAACTGGACTGTAACCAATCTGGTTTGGTTTGGTTCTACTATCAGTTTGTATAAAAATCAGACTGGACCGGACTGTATGCACAGTACCAGTTCCAGTTCCAATTTGGACTCAAAATTGGGCCGAACCGGACCGTGCCCAGCCCTAATACTGACCCATGTGATCCCTTTTTTTCTCTCCTCAATTAAATGTACGTGCAGCCCACTAATGCACAAAATGAATATAAAAAACTTGATGTCTATGCAATACAATACAATATATGCAATAAAAAAATACCTATAAAGCCCCCCATTTTGGGAAAGATACCTTTCAATTCTAGAATATTCCATCTGAACTCTAAATGG